CCTGGATCAGTTTATTTATTCCATGGTTTTAGAGGTTTTTCTCATGCTAGCAGCTTTGTACACTTTTTTATCCAGCGCTCTTTCATACATTCTTTTATTTTATATATATATATATATATATATATATATATATATATAAATACTTTTTTTTAATATATTGAATATGGTCAACATTGTAGCATTTCAAATATATGTCAATATATTTTGGAAGAATATTTTTAAAATATATTTCAAATATATATCCTTCTTCTATATGGGAAAGAATAGATGAGCTTTAATGAAGTGTGCATCTGTCATCAGCTCTGGTGGCAGACTTGTCTGCAGAAGAAGTGAGAATGCTCAGGACTGTAATAATGGTAATAGAGGAAGCAGGCAGAATGTCCTCCGGCTCTTTTTTTTTTTAAATGTTACACATTGTTTCTGATTTTCTGAGTGCCCCTAGTCCCTCTTCTCACCTACGGTGCCAGATGACCACTCGATTCTGCCGCGAGAAAAGGCCACGCGGAGTCCTCATCCCTGCCAGAGGTGCGTTAAGTGTAAACTCAGCCAGGTTCTCGGGAAAGAGGAGCCGCGAAAGATGACAGCGCACTTCAAGTCATCATACTCGTGACAAAGGAAGCCGTCCATGCTTTGTCCCAGGGAGGCGTTTCTGGGAGCGTTGATAAATGTCACCCTGCATGCTTCAGCTGACAAACACTTGACAGCAACTTGTTAAATGGACACGACAGACAATGGAGGGGAGCCGAGGCCTCTGAGGACATCCACTATAGTGTGACAGAGCTTCCATCAAACCTGAGCCCAGGGATCTGCCACCAAACCCACATGGAAGAAAAAGATATTTGAAATATATTTAAAAAATATTTTTCCCAAATACATTGCATTATATTTGAAATGCTACAATTTTGGCTATATTCAATATATTTCAATATATAAATAAATAAATAAAATGTAAAAAATAAATAAATATATATATATATATATATATATATATACATACATACATAAATATATATATATATATATATATATATATATAAAATATATATATATATATATATATATATATATATAATAAAAACGCATTTCAACATGATATATATATATACATATATATATATGTGTAGCGCTAGGGATAGGAACAATAAAGTGCAAATGAGAAAATAAATATAGTACATGCAATATGTTATAACATCCTTCCAATACATAAAGTGCAATAAATGATATAAATGATATCACTATTGGTGATGACAGTGAAATTAAGTAAAGAGACGTAAAATGTAGCGATCTTGTAGGGTCACAGCTTAGTGTGTAGATGTGTGATCCAGAGGTGATAGGTAAATCTTAATGAGCAGAATGCGCACTCACCAGAAGTGTGTAAAAATTACGCATAAAGGAGAACTCCTGTATCATCAGGCACTCATATGGTCATCCGTATTCTGGTCAAGCTGCATTCACTATCATCATCTGGTCATAACTGTATCAGGATTCCAGGATTCCTCAGTAAATCACATCACTTGGGGTCACCTCTAGGGCAGGCACTGAGGAGGGTGGCACTCACGAGGAGAGCCCAATAATGGACACCACATAGCGTGATCCTGCATAGGTGAACTTTATTCCAAAGTAAGATAATTAAAAGACTAGATGTCCAGATGCTGTAGCCCCTTCTGACGCGTTTCGTGCTAAGCACGTATTCATAGGGTGCAGGGCTTTGTAAGAGTCACAAGAGTCATCTCTATCTCAGGGTAAAAGAACCCCCATACATCATAGTTTTCCTTATACATCAGAGCCCCCCCATCACCATAGAGTCACCCATATATCATAGTCACAGGACCCCCTCATCACATTAGAAACCCCCCTTAACATTAAATGTCCCCCATCACATCAGATCCCATCTCTTCACATGACAGTCCCCCCTTCATGTCAGAAGCCCCCTCATCACATCAAAGTCTCCCCCGGATATATCAGAACCTCCTCCATCACAACAGAGTCATCCCTGTCTCAGAATAACAGAATCCCCATACATTATAGTTTTCCTTATACATCGGAGGCCCCCTCCCCCCATCACCACAGAGTCAGCCCTATCTCAAAGTCACAGAACTCCCCATCACATTAGAAGCCTCCCTTCATGTCAGGGCCCGCCACCACAATTAAATCACCCTATACATCAGAGACCCCCCATCACCACAGAGTCACAGGGCCTCCTTCACATCAGAAGCCCCCCTTTACATTAAAGCACCCCCATCACATTAGAGTACCCCCCCAGTGGTGTATTTAGGTTTTTTGCTGCCTTAGGCAACACAAAAATCAGACGCCCCCCCCCAGCGGAGAGAGCCTGACACCGACCAACACCAGACCCCCCTCCCCCCACCCTTCCCGGAGAGAGCTTGACAGTGACCACCAACAACATCCCTGCCCCCCACACCCCCCACCTGAGACCCTTCCACTAACAACCCCCCCCCCCCAGCAACAGAGAGAAAGGCACCCACTTTCACAGCTCTGGACATCCCTGGGAATGAGAGTCGGGCTCTGCATACTCCATCAAGTGGCCCGCAGCCTCTTTCAGATCCCACCTGGTCCCCATGCTGCATATGTCCCTTCTTCCTGGGGGAGGGGGGGTGTCTCCCCCCTGAAAAGTGCCACCCTAGGCAAATGCCTTGTTTGCCTTGTGGTAAATACGCCCCTGACCCCCCCCCCCCCCATCACCTTAGAGTCCTCCCCACCAAGTCCTCTCATCCATCTCTGATCTAGGGCAAACTAGAACTAGGGCACTTTAGAGGGATCCAACTGGCACCCCAGAGTGCGTGACACTCTGGGATGCCCCCATTTTATCCATGGGGGAAATGGCGGCTTGTCCCTGGCCTCTGGAGGTGTCATCCTGCTTTTGGGGTGTCAGAAGGGTGCTAAATACTAATTCTTTGGTAACTTGGGGGCATGGCAGGGGTGTGTCCATTGCCTGACATTCTGTGGCATACTGTCAGACGTGGAATGGAGTGCCAGTTCTTACATTGCATTCATAGTTCTTGCTACTTTGTAGCAGCATAGTTCCCGATCCCGGGGGAAAGAGGCTTCGATCACATTCACCGAAGCTGGCGTCTGGAGGTGTCATCCTGCTTTTGGGGTGTCAGAGGGGTGCTAAATACTAATTCTTTGGTAACTCGGGGGAGTGGCAGGGGTGTGTCTATTGCCTGACATGCTGTGGCATACTGTCAGACGTGGAATGGAGTGCCAGTTCTTACATTGCATTCATAGTTCTTGCCACTTTGTAGCAGCATAGTTCCCGATCCCGGGGGAAAGAGGCTCCGATCACATTCACCGAAGCTGGCCTCTGGAGGTGTCATCCTGCTTTTGGGGTGTCAGAGAGGTGCTACATACTAATTCTACATTCACGAAGCCGGCAGCTGGCGTATGCAAGGTCACCCGGCTGCCTAGGAACCCCGGCAATTAGAACATTTTCAAGATCTGAATGTCAGCCTGAATTTCCTTCCTTTGTTGTCTCTTCCCTTTTTGCAGGTGAGAGGAGGCCGCCTTAGTATTCTCCCAAATGGAACTCTGTGTCACCTACAAGGTGACAACTTTCTGCAAGCCTCCATAAAGACAATGTGCCACAATCCCTTGGAATCACGGCGTCTGCCAGATGCGCTCTACACCGAGACTCCTTCTCAGGAGTCATTACGGGGGCCGGGGCTGTGCGTGTTACCTTTGTCTCCAGCAGTTCCAACACATGTCAGGACGGATTCTCACCACGGATGGAAGCGATGAGCCGCCTGCTAAAAACGGAAAAACGTTTGTTGGTGAATCATACGTGGCCTGAGTTATTGAGCACTGGCCCAAATAATGTGACGAGACGGTGATAATAGAAAGACCAATGAACCGTGCGGAGAAGACAACTTCAGAAGAGGAGAATACGGCAGAACAATATTCTTCCAGCGGGGGAGGGGTTCATTAGATGGATCGTTTGCATATTATTCATAAAACATCTTTATCAACCTTCATGAAGGCATCAAACGAGTCTTCCGAACCAGGACTGTGGCTTCACTCTCCACCAAGAACATCATCTAAATGGAGCTGCTGCCCCAAAATATCCCAAGCTGTTACATATACACTATATTGTCCCAAGTATTGGACCGCCGGCCTTTCCATGCACATGACCTTTAATGACCTCCCAGTCTTAGTCCGTAGGGTTCAATATTGAGTTGGCCCCGCCCTTTCCACACACATGACCTTTAATGACCTCCCAGTCTTAGTCCATATGGTTCAATATTGAGTTGGCCCCGCCCTTTCCACACACATGACCTTTAATGGCCTCCCAGTCTTAGTCCGTAGGGTTCAATATTGAGTTGGCCCCGCCCTTTGCAGCTATAACAGCTTCAACTCTTCTGGGAAGGCTGTCCACAAGGTTTAGGAGGGTGTCTATGGGAAGGTTGGACCATTCTTCCAGAAGCACATTTGTCAGGTCAGGCACTGATGTTGGGGGAGGAGGCCTGGCTCGCAGTCTCCGCTCTAATTCATCCCAAAGGTGTTCTATGGGGTTGAGGTCAGGACTCTGTGCAGGACAGTCAAGTTCCTCCACCCCAAACTGGCTCCTCCATGTCTTTATGGACCTTGCTTTATGCACTGGTGAGCAGTCATGTTGGAACAGGAAGGGGCCATCCCCAAACTCTTCCCACAAAGTTGAAGCATGAAAATGTCCAAAGTGTTGCCTTAAGAGTTCCCTTCACTGGAACTAGGGGGCCAAGCCCAACCCCTGAAAAACAACCCCACACCATAATCTCTCCTCCACCAAACTTTACACTTGGCACAATGCAGTCAGGAAAGTACCGTTCTCCTGGCCACCGCCAAACCCAGACACGTCCATCGGATTGCCAGACAGAGAAGCGTGATTGGTCACTCCAGAGAACTTGCTTCCACTGCTCTAGAGTCCAGTGGCAGCGTGCTTTACACCACGGCATCTGACGCTTTGCATTGCACTTGGTGATGGAAGGCTTGGATGCAGCTGCTCGGCCATGGAAACCCATTCCATGAAGCTCTCTAACGCACTGTTGTTGGGCTCATCTGAAGGCCACACCAAGTTTGGAGGTTTTTAGCTATTGACTCTGCAGACAGTTGGTGACTTCTGCGCACTGTGCGCTTCAGCATGCGCTGACCCCGCCCTGTCATGTGACGTGGCCTACCACTTGGTGGTTGAGTGGCTATTGTTCCCAGTTGCTTCCACTTTGTTATAATCCCACTAACAGTTGAGCGTGGAATATTTAGTAGCCAGGAAATGTCACGGATGGACTTATTGCCCAGGTGGCCACCTATCACGGGACCACGCTTGGAGTCACTGAGCTCCTGAGAGCGACCCATTCTTTCACCAATGTTTGTAGAAGCAGTCTGCATGCCTAGGGCCTTGATTGTATACACCTGTGTCCATGGAGGGGATTGGAACACCTGAATCACATGATTTGGAGGGGATTGGAACATCTGAATCACATGATTTGGAGGGGATTGGAACATCTGAATCACATGATATGGAGGGCAGGGCAATACTTTTGGCAATATAGTGTATGTATATTTTTTTCTCCCATGAAAGTGGAGTTACCCTTCAATGACAACCATGCATAACTTGGATACCAAGTTTGAGTGAAATTAACCTACAAAACTATTTATTTTCACAATATTTTCTACACAGGGTCTATTTTTACCCCCCCCCCCCTTTTTTTTCTGCACACCACGTGATCAGATAAGAAATGCTGTCAACGGGATTATAAATATGTCTGCCATGTGTTTACTTTCCTTTCTTTTTTATCGAACTTCAAGCAGATTTCTATTCCTGGGAGACCTCCTGATAATAATAATTAGAGATGAGCGAATCGAAGTATCCGAAGTGGAATTCGAGTCGAATATCGGAAAAATTTCGATTCGTGCCGAATCCGAAAACAGCCTAATTCGGACGCGCGAATCGAAATTTTTCCGAAAATGGCGGCTGACATGTGCGGCGACGGAGCGGGGATGTCGGGGAAGGCGCGCAGACAAAGGCGCGCTGCCCCATAATGCATTCCTCAACGACATAGTGATCGCATTCAGCCAATCAGCAGCCAGCCAGCCAGCACTGTGTAATGGTCGAGGTATATATAGCGGCCCTATTTTGGAAATCTTCATTTGCTGCAGTCATTGAACAGAGGCAGACCGCTCTGTACTAGGGACAGGGACAGAGTTAGGGCCACAGAAACGAGAATTGGGGACAGAGAGAAGTTACTTAGGGACAGAGAACCATTACTCAGGGACACAGACTTGTTAATGAGGGCCACAGAATCGTTATTTAGGGACAAAGAAACGCTAGTTAGGGCCACAGAATTCATACTCAGGGACAGACAGAATTGTTACTCAGTGCCAGAGAATTGTTACTTAGGGCCACAGAAACGTTATTAGGGCCACAGAATTTTTACTCAGGGACAGGACAGAATTGTTACTGAGTGCCAGAGAATTGTTACTCAGGGACAGACAGAATTGTTACTGAGTGCCAGAGAATTCTTACTCAGGGCCACAGAATTCCATTCTCAGGGACAGACAGAATTGTTACTCAGGGACAGACAGAATTGTTACTGAGTGCCAGAGAATTGTTACTCAGGGACAGACAGAATTGTTACTGAGTGCCAGAGAATTGTTACTCAGGGACAGACAGAATTGTTACTGACTGAGTGCCAGAGAATTGTTACTCAGGGACAGACAGAATTGTTACTGAGTGCCAGAGAGAATTGTTACTCTCACAGACACAAAATTGTTACTTGCACAGACACAGAATTGTTACTTGCACAGACACACAATTTGTTACTCAGGCCACAGAATTCATACTCAGGGACAGACAGAATTGTTACTGAGTGCCAGAGAATTCTTACTCAGGGCCACAGAATTCATACCTCAGGGACAGACAGAATTGTTACTCAGGGACAGACAGAATTGTTACTGAGTGCCAGAGAATTGTTACTCCAGGGACAGAAACAGAATTGTTACTGAGTGCCAGAGAATTGTTACTCAGGGACAGACAGAATTGTTTACTGAGTGCCAGAGAATTGTTACTCTCACAGACAACAAAATTGTTACTTGCACAGACACAGAATTGTTACTCGCACAGAGACAGAATTTGTTACTCAGGGCCACAGAATTCATACTCAGGGGACAGACAGAATTGTTACTGAGTGCCAGAGAATTGTGATTACTCAGGGACAGACAGAATTGTTACTGAGTGCCAGAGAATTGTTACTCTCACCAGACACAAAAATTTGTACTTTTGCACAGACACAGAATTGTTTACATTGCACAGACACACAAATTGTTACTCAGGGCCACAGAATTCATACTCAGGGACAGACAGAATTGTTACTGAGTGCCAGAGGAATTCTTACTCAGGGCCACAGAATTCATACTCCAGGTGACAGACAGAATTGTTACTCAGGGACAGACAGAATTGTTACTGAGTGCCAGAGAATTGTTACTCAGGGACAGACAGAATTGTTACTGAGTGCCAGAAGAATTGTTACTCTCACAGACACAAAATGTTACTCTTGCACAGACACAGAATTGTTACTTGCACAGACACAGACAATTGTTACTCAGGGCCACAGAGAATTCATACTCAGGGACAGACAGAATTGTTACTGAGTGCCAGACAGAATTGTTACTCAGGGACAGACAGAAATTGTTTACTGAGTGCACAGAAAATTTCTTACTCAGGGCCACAGAATTCATTGTTCAGGGACAGACAGAATTGTTACTCAGGGACAGACAGAATTGTTACTGAAAGTGCCCAGAGAATTGTTTACTCAGAGACAGACAGAATTGTTTACTGAGTGCCAGAGATTGTTACTCAGGGACAGACAGGGAATTGTTTACTGAGTGCCAGAGAATTGTTACTCAGGGACAGACAGAATTGTTACTGAGTGCCAGAGAATTGTTACTCTCACGAGACACAAAAATTGTTACTTGCACAGACACAGAAATTGTTACTTGCACAGACAGCACAAGAATTGTTACTACAGGCCACAGAATTCATTACTACTCAGGGACAGACAGAATTGTTACACTGAGTGCCAGAGAATTCTTACTCAGGGCCAGACAGAATTGTTCTCAGGGACAGACAGAATTGTTACTACTCAGGGACAGACAGAATTGTTACTCAGAGTGCCAGAGAATTGTTACTCAGGGACAGACAGAATTGTTACTGAGTGCCAGAGAATTCTTACTCAGGGACAGACAGAATTGTTAACTGAGTGCCAGAGAATTGTTACTCTCACAGACACAAAATTGTTTAACTTGCACAGACACAGAATTGTTACTCGCACAGAGTGAATTGTTACTCGCACAGAGACAGAATGTTACTGCATCAGGGCCACAGGAATTCATACTCAGGGACAGACAGAATTGTTACTGAGTGCAGAGAATTGTTACTCAGGGACAGACAGAATTGTTACTGAGTGCCAGAGAATTGTTACTACTCACAGACACAAAATTGTTACTTGCACAGACACAGAATTTTTACTTACTTGCACAGACACACAATTGTTACTCAGGGCCACAGAATTCATACTCAGGGACAGACAGAATTGTTACTGAGTGCCAGAGAATTCTTACTCAGTGGCCACAGAATTTGTACTCAGGGACAGACAGAATTGTTACTCAGGGACAGACAGAATTGTTACTGGAGTGCCAGAGAATTGTTACTCAGGGACAGACAGAATTGTTACTGAGTGCCAGAGAATTGTTACTCTCACAGACACACAAAATTGTTACTTGCACAGCACAGAATTGTTACTTGCACAGACACACAAAAATCAAATTGTTACTCAGGGCCACAGAATTCATACTCAGGGGACAGACAGAATTGTTACTGAGGTGCCAGAGAATTGTTACTCAGGGACAGACAGAATTGTTACTGAGTGCCAGAGAATTGTTACTCTCACAGACACAAAATTGTTACTTGCACAGACACAGAATTGTTACTCTCGCACAGAGACAGAATTGTTACTCAGGGCCACAGAATTCATTACTCAGGACAGACAGAATTGTTAACTGAGTGCCAGAGAATTGTTACTCAGGGAAGACAGAATTGTTACTGAGTAGCCAGAGAATTGTTACTCAGGGACAGACAGAATTGTTACTGAGTGCCAGAGAATTGTTACTCAGGGACACAAAATTGTTACTCAGTGGCAGACAGAATTGTTACTCAGCACAGAACAGAATTGTTACTCAGAGGCCACAGAATTGTACTCAGGGACAGACAGAATTGTTACTGAGTGCCAGAGAATTGTTACTCAGGGACAGACAGAAATTGTTACTGAGTTGCCAGAGAATTGTTACTAGCCACACAGACACAAAATTGGAGCCATTACAGTGATTGCACAGACACAGAATTGTTACTTGCACAGACACAATTGTTACTGAGTGCCAGAGAATTGTTACTCAGGGACAGACAGAATTGTTACTGAGTCCAGAGAAATTGTTACTCAGGGACAGACAGAATTGTTACTGAGTGCCAGAGAATTGTTACTCAGGGGAACAGACAGAATTGTTACTGAGTGCCAGAGAATTGTTACTATCAGGTAGACAGACACAAAATTGTTACTGCACAACGTTCACAAGAATTGTTACTTGCACAGACACAAAAATTGTTACTCGCGGCCACACAGGAATTGTTACTCGCACAGATACAGAAACTTGCATACTCAGTTACTGGCCACAGACAGAATTGTTACTGAGTGCCAGAGAATTGTTACTCGGGACAGACAGAATTGTTTACTGAGTGCACAGACGAGAATTTGTTACTCAGGGGACAGACAGAATTGTTACTGAGTGCCAGAGAATTGTTACTCAGGGACGAAGACAGAATTGTTACTGAGTGCCAGAGAATTGTTACTCTCACAGACACAAAATTGTTACTTGCACAGACACAGAATTGTTACTCAGCACAGACACAGAATTGTTACTCAGGGCCACAGAATTCATACTCAGGGACAGACAGAATTGTTACTGAGTGCCAGAGAATTGTTACTCAGGGGACAGACAGAATTGTTACTGATGCCAGAGAATTGTTACTCAGGGACAGACAGAATTGTTACTGAGTGCCAGAGAATTGTTACTCGCACAGACACAAAATTGTTACTGAGTTGAAAAATTGTTACTCGCACAGACACAAAATTGTTACTTGCACAGACACAGAATTTTACTACGCACAGACACAGAATTGTTACTCAGGGCCACACAGAATTCATACTCAGGACAGACAGAATTGTTACTGAGTGCCAGAGAATTGTTACTCAGGGACAGACAGAATTGTTACTGATGAGGCCAGAGAATTGTTACTCAGAGGACAGACAGAATTGTTACTGAGTGCCAGAGAATTGTTACTCAGGGACAGACAGAATTGTTACTGAGTGCCAGAGAATTGTTACTCTCGCACAGACACAAAAATTGTTACTTGCACAGGATTGTTACTCCGGTACACAGAAATTGTTACTTTCGCACAGACACAGAAATTGTTACTCGCACAGACACAGAATTGTTACTCAGGGCGCCACAGAATTCATACTCAGGGACAGACA